TTGTGTTTTCTGACTTGTTATAATGTTTTCTGAATTGTTGTTATGCTTTCTGAATTGTTATTTAGTTTTTTAGACTTGCATTTGCGTTTGTAATTTGTTATTTTGTTTTCAGAATTGTGATTTGCTCTGCACTTCTCGGCCACCGTAAAATACTGTTTTTTTTAGCAGCATCATATGACCCCTTTAAGATAATTCAGAATATTATTTTAGTGTGTGCCAATGTTATTCCTATTTTCTCAGTACCAATTTCTTCTGATAAGAATTTTATGAGGGGGCCATTTTGTATGAATTTGTATGGAAATGAATGGATGAATGAATGAAAACTTGGTCCACGACTAACCCCTACACCAAAACCTTACTGTCATACAAAAAATGAAATGATACAAATATATATACAAATAGGATCATACAAATTCAAGAATCCATCCATTAGCCATTGATTTGGCAAAACATAAAAAGTTGCAAAAAACAACTTGCCATGAGATTGTGTTGACCAATTTCTAAAATCCTTCTGCATGCCCAAATATTGTAATATTAAGCACTGATGATGCTCTTCTAATTAAATCAATAAATTTGTCTACATGGAGCAACTGCAGTTTTGCTTGTCCAGCTATTGTATCAGCTCTAGAGAAGGCAGGAAAACAAAAGCAGTGGATGAAGGACTAGACTTCATGAATGCATCCAGTCACACCTGCTCATGTTCACGCCGGCCAACTGCAATCTCACACCTAAAAAAATAAGCTACAATCCATCAGACAGTGACTAGCACTAGCCGTCTGTCCCTGGATGTGCATGCAGGTTTCCCTGTATGTGTGAATTCAGGTGTGTTATCCTGCACAGCCATTTAAAATCGTTCTATTTAAAATTAATTTGTAGTAGAATATACAGTGGGTACGTACATTAATGAGGAAAAAAAATTAACTTAAATGATTTTAGCAAATGGCTGCAATATAACAAAGAGTGAAAAATTTAAAGGGGTCTGAATACTTTCCGTACCCACTGTATATGTGCAAACGTGCAAATCTACAATAATTGAATACAACAGCTATCCCCACACTTAATCTCAAAGATAAACTACTACACGTGATTTTGCTAATGGTCCACACACACACATAAAAGAAACTGCGAATGAGTTTACTGAAGCTGCAAGAAAAGGAAATCATTAGAAACACCGATTGGCTGATGGCACCATAAGAACATGTCTCAAACTCCTCACTACAGCAACTATACTGAGATGTGATATGAAAAACAAGAGGCAAGTGGAATTCATGAGTGCATTTCACGTTTTGAAGAGCTCTCAAAAAATAATCTGTCACTGGCAAACTATTTACAAAAAAATAATTACAGTAAGTACTCGCAGTTTGCATTTTGCTTATGAAAATAATTTTGTCAGAATACTTGGCAACTTTTGAACAGAATTTGTGTTACAACATCTGCCAGCAACTGGATTATGATACCCAGCCAAACCTTGACACTGAGTGTGCATCACGTTTCTCCTATAAATGTGTCTATTGATCACCGCCACCTATTTCACAGCAATTAACTTTTCATTTAGTCCTTTTATCTGTGATTCATTTAGCATTTTCACTTTAGAGGGAGGGGTCTTTATTTTTAATGATGGTATATACATCAGACTCTAACTTTAATGTACTTTGAATGAAGCAATTAATTTTAAATGTGATTATTTCAGCTAGTTAAACACGGTGTGACAATACATAATAAGGGCTTTAATTATTCATCAAATTGCAACACCTAGGACATGCCAAGCAGTATGTTTAATTTAATATTATTAAATTAAATATATAATATCCTACTGGCCATCCGTTGAGGGTGTCCCCCGCCCATGGCCTGAGATGCTGGGATAGGCTCAAGAACCTGGCAACACTGCAGAGGATAAAGTGGTTTGGAAATAGATGGATATAATATCTTAATAATATAGTGTGATATTAGTATAAATATTCATTAAGAAGTAAATTGATTTCCAATGCATCCCCTTCATTAGGTGTACTCAAGAGTCTCAGTGTCATTTTGATTGACTTTTGAGATTGTGATATGAATTCAACTTGGTTATGTCAGAAGATACTGGGATTTTAATTGCTGTCATTTTCTTCCCTAAAAAAAAACGAGGGGTGACTTGTGACTGCTGGATAGCTCATATGCTGTGCAAACTGTTTTTCATTTCTGCTTTGCATGGACCAGATGCTGCCCCATTCTCTCCCTGAACTCCATCGTTGATTTGAGAACATTATTTCTGCATACGGTGGCGCTATCTTGAGGGGTTCCATTTCTGTTTAAAGACTGCTTAATTAATGATAGCGTTCATTAGCACAGAAAATCTAACACAGAATAAAGTAGCCTGACTATGAAAACTTCCTGACACAAGCTATATGAAAGTATAGCTCACAACAAACAAACATTGTTATTGTTGGGATATCCCGTGGCAAAAACAGAGAAACAAACAGAGACATAATTAGCGTAGCTGCTGTTCCAATCAAGCAAAATTGATTTGTTTAACCCAAACTAAAGAATAATTTAACTGAAAACTGGGTCCCTTTTGAAGATATACCACATACACATGCACAAACAAAAAGAAATTCAATGCCATCATGTACTTACTGTCATGTTGTTCCAAAATCTGTATTATTTTCTTGCATGAACCATGAAAGGAGATATTTAACCAACCTAGGCTCACTGGAAAAACATGCCTGTGTCAACATTTCCGAAAAATTATTGCTTGCCCGTGTCCCAAGACATTCAAAGTGAAATGTCACAAAAAGTGTCACTAAAAAGCATGTTGAATTGAACAGATGAATGTGAATCTGGCACCCTAGACCTAAACGACAGAGTAAAAAAAAAGCAAACATGTTAAAAAAAATTGCATTTGCTGATGCAACCATGCCATTTTAGCTTGCTTCTACAAAACTTTGAGCTCTTTTATCCTGGCTCGTGTTTCAAGGGGACTCATAACAGAGCACTCTGCATCACAAGTGCAATGCTGTATAGCAGGTGAGCTACAGAGCAAGTTTACTAGAAAAGCCACATATGTAGCTGGTAATGTGATGCAAGCTGGTTATGTTCATTTACAAATTGTGTACTATATATATATAAAAGTGTTTTGAGGTCATAACATAGTATTTGTGCTTAGAGGACCAGTTACATCCATGGTCAACATTCGCCTTCATCATAAGGAAAAGAGAAGAAATAATGAATTAATAAAATCAAACATATGGTAGAACATAAGAGTGAGTAAATGACAGAATTTTTATTTGAAATAGGCTATTACTTTAACCTGTATGGCATCTGTATGACAGTTTACATTTTTAAACAGATAACAAATGTGTTAATAGATTCAGTCAGTTTGTTGTGCTAATTAGAAGATAAATTAGTCAAATTTCCTGATATATGACACCCAAAATGAATACATATTCAAAACTTCTCTCAGCAAGCACAGTCGGTTGTTTGGATAACCAATCCAGCCTTGTGGTTAGCTTTGCGTTTTAACTAAAACACTAGATTACAAACATTTCTTTCAATGATATGTCCCCACAAAACTCCCCACTAATCTTTGGGTGTCTCTTGGCTTTTGCAACAGTCATTCTCTTCCAGTAGTGAGATGGTTGTTTACAGTAATTACAGAGAACAAGATCCCTCATTCTCTAAGGCAAGATCATTTAGACCTCTGATTGTCAGTCAGTGGGAACATTACAGCCTCCTGACACAGAGACAGAGAGAAATTGTGCAAGAAATTACATTAACACTTCTATTTGCAACAATGTGTTGATTATTTTAAATGACAAACATACTAGCAGTGTGTACTTGCACTGTAGGTAATGACCTGAACTTAAAGTGTGCTTATTTTATGAACAAATGGTCTGATGTCTTCAGCAGAATTTGTAAAATTTCAAAATATTGGAGAGTGTTGTTTCTCCCGCCCATCCTCTTCAGACTCAACGCTCACGCGGGTTGCCAGATTGA